CCCTCGCTTAATGGGGCTGGCGGAGGTGGGGGGGGGGTTCAGGCCTTCCTCCTCCTCCTCTTCCCCCTCCTCCTCCTCCAGCCCCCTTTTCCCGGGCAATTCCAAGCGCCGCCTTGCAAACCTTCGTTACTTACCTTTTGGGAGGGGGGGGAACGGCTGCAGCGCGGGCGGAGGGGACGATGGGAGTGGTAGTCCAAGAAAAAAAGGGAACGCACCCGCAAGACAAAGCGGTGTGTGTGTGTTGCGCTGGGGAAGGGGGGGCTGCCCAGCTCTGCCGGAGCCTTTGGATGGGGAACTCCGCCCCGCCCCCACTTCGCGCCTCATCATCGTTTGTTAACTATTGCAGCCCCGGCAGCAGAAATCAGGGCGTGCAAAAACCTCGAATAAGTCTTACTGATGCATTTGCAAAAATATACATAATTTTAAAAATTGCATACAGTACTTCACTCTTATGGTGATTATTACTACTATTATTCGAAAACACCAGGCACGGAGAATCAAAATGATGAAAACATTGACTAACGTTATAGAACACATGTACACGTTTTAGCCAAAAACCTAAGGACCTGTTAAATGCACGATCAGTGTGGCTTCCTGGGTACAGTATCTGAGAGAGGCCACTGGCCCAGAAGTTTCCTGGGTGGCTGCTGGTAAGGATTCTCATCTTTTTGCCCTCCAGATGTTGAGCCCCTTTCTGGACTTCAATTCCCAGAATTCCACACTGTTGGCCAGGATGCCCTGGGCTTCTGGGAGGTGATGGTCAACCACACTGGGCAAGCCAGCTGTTTTCCACTCCTTTCTGTTCTCCTTCCATGCATCTTGCTCTGTGCAGAGACCATGGGGGGGGGTTGGCATTGCTTTCCCCAATACCTTGCAATCTCTTTATAAAATTGAAGTAACTAGTTACAAGCAACAGTTAACTATAACTAGTTACTTTTGAGATACAAAGTAACACGACTGTTAATCACAAGAGTAGCACGGAGTTGCTTTCAAACATTGTCTTAAAGGGTATTTTAAAGGCCTTGTGAAAAGAATTTTGCAGCAATTCTGTTAGCGATCCTAAACCAGAAGTATTTTTTTACTGTAAATGTTTCTAAGGTGCAATATCAGAAGTGCCCACTAGAGGGAACCACACAGTATTTCCTTGTATTTTTCTGGTCTGCAACAGCACCACAACCTGTGTAAAGGTGCAATGCAACAATTCCTTCCACCCCTGGAGTGGCAACTTGGACATTGCGTTTTAAAAATGTAATGTTGTAGGTTCCGAATGTGCTCTACTGTTTCTCCTCCATGCCGCCTGCGCGCATCAGGCCAGATGGCACCAACACATGGCAAGAGTGCTGCTGGTCTTCACCAAAGGTTTGTGTAACTTAGGGCAGCTAATTAGAGACGACCTGACAAGCCAGCTGGGGTGTGTCTCAGTTGCACAGCTGGGCACCCATTGCACGGCTGAGATCTGCTCTGGGACCTTATTGATTAGCCACAATTAGCCATGTCAAGTTATGCCAGCCTGGCAGGAAGGTCAGTAGGGATTCTGGCCATGGTGTGCCAAACCACCTGCCTCCTGGAAACAGCTCCATCATCCTGATCCAGCGTCAAGCTTGCCTTAAAGTCCCAAAAAGGGACTGGATTAAATTCACAGATTTGCTGAAAAGGTTACTTGGTAAGGCAAGTATGTTTAATGGCATCTGAGACTCAAAACAGGAACGGTGGCGGCATTTTCACAAATCTTTGGCAATGATACACCCCCCCCAAAAAAACCCTGCTCCCCTGATCAAAAACTGTGGCAAACAGCAGCATGGGTTGAGTAGCCCTTGACTGTCCAATCCTAATGAATTCAGATGGACTGTGGGTTGTACCGTGGGACCCTTGTATCCATGGGGTATCCATTCCAAGCCTCCCTGCGGATACTGAAAAATGTGGATTATTTGTTGTTATTGTTTAGTCATTTAGTCGTGTCCGGCTCTTTGTGACCCCATGGACCAGAGCACGCCAGGCCCTCCTGTCTTCCACTGCCTCCGGGAGTTTGGACAAAATGTGGATTATCGTGAACACTATAGCATACTGATGACAAAACTAAACAGCATTTTGAAAAGCAGAGATATCACCTTGCTGACGAAGATCCACATAGTCAAAGCTATGGTTTTTCCAGTTGCGATGTATGGAAGTGAGAGCTGGACCATAAAGAAGGCTGACTGCCGAAGAATGGATGCTTTTGAATTGTGGTGCTGGAGGAGACTCTTGAGAGTCCCCTGGACTGCAAGGAGAACAAACCTATCCATTTTCTGAAGGAAATCAACCCTGAGTGCTCACTGGAAGGACAGATCCTGAAGCTGAGGCTCCAATACTTTGGCTCTCTCATGAGAAGACTCCCTGGAAAAGGCCCTGATGTTGGGAAAGTGTGAAGGCAAGAGGAGAAGGGAACGACAGAGGATGAGATGGTTGGACAGGGTCACCGAAGCGACCAACATGACTTTGACCCAACTCCGAGAGGCAGTGGAAGACAGGAGGGCCTGGCGTGCTCTGGTCCATGGGGTCACGAAGAGTTGGACACGACTTAACGACTAAAGAACAAAATCTCATATTTGGTTCTCCTCTTTTCCTGCTGGCTTCCGCTTTTTCCCTTAAGTTACCATCTTTTCCCAGGGGTCTTCTCATCCAAAGTAAGAAAACCTCTTCGTTGTTATTGATCTACAGCCCCTTTATTTGTATTTCCCGCACTTGGTGGTACTATAAAGCTCCCTTCCAATATCACATATCAAAAGAATAAATTTTACCCCCCCCATCAGATTTCTTTACTGTCCAGTTTTTTGTAAGTAGTAATTGGGAATATAATAGTATGGATGACCCCCACCTTCATCTCCAGTGACGTGTCTTTATACCTGATTTTCTTTGCTAGTTCCTCCATAGCTGCCCTTCCAAATCTCAGTTTTCTTCTGATTTCTTGGCTGAAGTCTCCATTTGGATTGATGAGTGAGCACAGCAATATTTTTTTAAAAAGGGGGGGGGGAGTCTTCCTGCCTATAATAAACCAATACCTTCAAAAGACTGATACTGATCTCTTTCTCATATCCTAAATTACTAGCTGGGGTGGGGATGAAGGTTTTTAAAGATTCAAAAACTGCAACAGGGAAGTAATACAAAATGCAAACAAAGGCAACTTTAAGCAGGGTGGAGCGTAAACAGTGCAGTATGCCAGGTGATTTCCAGCAAATGTGCCACAACTGTAGACAACACAACTGCATCGCTTGTGGGAACACAATCAAGCTGTCCCCTCCCCTCCACCTTTGTACCTGAAAGCCAAAAAAACCTCCCAGAGGATCAAGCCCATACATGCTACAGGGCACTACAGAAGAGTTAGAATTTTTTTAAAATAATACACTTTAAAATGAATTACACCCTTGTTTTCTAGCACCACAGGGTTCAGAACAAGTAGTGTTGTCATGGATCCATAGACTTGCAAAATCAGAATGCCGTGGCTTTTTTGATTTGCTACGGAAATACATTTTCCCTAGAAAGATACAGTACTGCATGTTGTTGCATTAAAACCTCCCTGGTTTTAATGCAAATTGGTTTGGTCTCAAATAGGCAATCAGGACCCATTAGACCTAGCAAAGACCTTGTTTCTGCTTCAGAGGAAAACTACTTAAGACTGGCTGGATATTATGGGGCCGACCCTTTTGCTTACATTGGTGGACTTCTGTATTGGGTGTAGCGATAGGGAGTGTCATCACAGCTAGCTTCACGTCAAAATTTGCCAGAATCACCAATGAACATAAATTAAGCATACAGAATGGCCGAGTTGTGTGTTCAACCCAACTGGGAAGCTGAGGCTGAAGTTCAACAGGACAGCTGTTTACCAGACACTTTGTATCAAGGTAGCAAACTGCGGACACTCACGGAGTGTGTATCCCCATGATAACCAGTTACAAGGGTGTGATGCTAGTTTAGCTGCTACGGGCCCTTCTTAGGGAGTTGTGGGAATTTTAGTTTAATGAAAGACTCAGAGCTTTTCTGCTAAATGGCCCTAGTAGGAAATATTTTGGGGCCAGAGTATTGAGGAAATAAGCACAGCTAGGAAATGTTACTTTTTTTGGACTACAACCTCTGCAGCAAAGACAACGGGGAGATTCCATGAGATGTCATTCAAAATGTAACTTCTCTAAGCCAGTAGTCCCCAACTGTGGGCCTCCAGATGTTCTTGGACTACAAATCCCAGAAGCCCTTGCCACCACCCAGGATTTCTGGGAGTTGAAATCCAAGAACATCTGGAGGCCCACAGTTGGGGACCACTGGTCTCAGCTATGCCCTCAGGTCTTTACTCAAACATTCTTCTGCTGAAATTCAGAAAGCAAAAAATTGTATTCATTCTGGAAGTGATAGCGTCAGAGATTGTTGGGCGTTTTTGCAACCTCGCATGCTACCTCTAGCAGGTGTGGTTGGGAGGGACCTTTCTGGGCTGGGGTGACTGTCAATCTCTCCAGCACTAACCAATCATTCCTTCCCTGCTTCCGAACTCAAACACAGCCCACCTCTCTGCTCTGGGTCTCTTTCCCTCCCTTGATTCCGTTGAGGTCTGTTGTCGAAGGCAGCCACTTTGTCAGTTTGCTATTGATTTGTAAGTAATGACACCTTTTGCTCTTTCTTCTACACAGAAGGTCTAAGGTGTGATATTGAGACAGTAAGTGACAGTTAATAAGAAAAAGGGGTAGTCTACTCTGGGGAAGCTATTCTGCTCTGAGAATCCCAGCACTTCTGCGGCACAGGAGGAATTTAACCAAAAATCTGAAAACTTCAACAGAAGTAACCCTTCCAGGCTCCTGAACTCCCAGCACTTCTGTGGCACAGCAGGAGGAATTTAACCGAAAATCTGAAAACTGCAACAGAAGTAACCCTTCCAGGCTCCTGAAATAAGTATAATATAGATCCAGGATCAGAGAAAACTAGGAGAAGGAAAACTCCAATTTCAAACCTCCACTGCCTTGTGGCTATATCCACTCATGGAAAAGGCTTCAGGAGTTAACCTCGAGGCAAAATCCGGAGCTGGAGTCCCGAAGGCAGCATGTGTCATTCTGCCAACTCCTGCGACATTGCTGGAACCAGTTGTATTGGCTCTTGCCTTTCCATTGGACCATTTCAGCAATGTGGAGAGGGGGGATCTGCTGCTTGGGTAACAGCCTATCCTCCATATTACCTTACCCGGGCTTTATGCTCTGGAGAGGACACTCCTCAATTCAGAGCATGTTACCATAGTCTCTCTAGACTGAAGGATGCCTATGCAGGGAAAACAGCCACAAGGAACAGCGACAGGGACAAAATGTCTGTTTTGAATCTGTTTCTGGGGCAGCTTTAAGAAACTGCTTCATTAAAACTGAAAAGGAGAAGCCAAAAAGGGTGGGGGGGAGAGGCACTATACAAATTCCACACAGCTCTGGCTATAATGACTGTAACCCTGAAATATGAACGGCAAGCCTGTCACAAGATCACAGCTGACGGTCATGCGTGGCAACCCCTGAGGTCACGGAAGGATCTTTGGCTTGCGACTGCCCCGTTTGGATCGATCGGTGAACTTCCGTAGAAGTTTGTGCGTTGTTCCAGGCACCCAACGACAAAGGCCAGAGGCAGCAGCTCCTGTTGTGAAAGTCTTGACGTCCTACAAGGAAGCCAACGGTGGAGCGAAGGCAAAGAAGAAAGGTGTCTGTCCGTGAGATGAAAGTCTTCTGGAGGTTGGCCTTGGGCACCTACGCCTCTGGGGGCGAACGGGGGCCGGAGCAACTTTCCCCCACGTTCCTCAAGAGCTCGACATCCGTGAACAGCCGAAAAGCAATCTCTTCACACTCGCAGGACGCTCCGCACTCAAACAGGCAGCCGAACATCTGCGCGTTGCCCTCCTCGCAGATGGCCAGGTCCGAGTAGCCGCTGGGCCCCGGGTTCAGCACCCAGGGGGCTTTCCACGACCCCGGATCCAAGGGGGACGTGTTCAAGTAGATGCCCAGATCCGTCCGCGTGCGCCTGTTGGTGGGGTGGGAGAAAATCAGCCACGACGCGGCGCTCTTGAGGGAGGCCGAGAACGGCTGGGCATCCGATGCCCGAGGAGTCGGTTTGCGAGCCTCTTCCTGCCGACTCAGATCCAGGGACTCCAGCATGGGGGAGAAACTCACCACGCTCCCTTGACACCCCCGGGGGGGCTCGTACAGCTCTTTACACAGGGAGGGGTTCACGAATTGGTCTCCGTGGTCCACACAGACTGCGCCCGCCCGGTACTTGTGCAGGGTGCGGGCACTGCAGTACAAGACTTGGCTATTGTCCGGGCAGGTGAGCTCCGCCACCTGGCACTCCGAGGTGCGCAAGGTTTTGAGGAGCTGGCCCCGGGCCCAGTGTCTCCCGCCGTCGTCGCTGTAGAAGGTGAAGCTATGGGGCTTGATCCAACAGCCCAGGGGGCGGCCGAACAAACGCTTGTGGATGTAGTAGGCGTAGGCCGGAACCACCAGCCGCCCGGAGGTCAACTGGACGCCGTGGCCTGGCCCGACAGCAAAAGTGGCCAGTTTCTCAAGTCGTCCCCAATCACCTGGTCTGTCAGGTCGGTCACCTGGCTCCAGGTGTGGCCGCCGTCTTGGCTGGAGACGTAGCACAGCCTGGCCGCGTTCCTCCCCGTCCGGATTTGGTGCCCCTCTGTAATGTAGGTCTGGACGCCAATGAAGAAGAGGAAAATGGTGCCAGTTTTTCTGTCATAAACCGGGCAAGGGTTCATGGTGCGGTGGCCGGGCAACATGGCGGTCTCCAGCGCCTCCACCGGACCCCACTGGAGGAAAGCAGAGAACGGATGTTAAGAAATAATTCTAGGTTCTCAGGTTTCTGCAGGGTGGAATGAAGCGTGTGGGCAATGTGGAAGGCTTAGGGAACCTTTTTACCTTCCTCTGGACCTATGAAAGCAAATTCCGACCCTTGAAAACAAATAATCTTTTAGCACCCAATAGCAAGATGTGTTGGGATAATAGCAACCCTGCATGCACTTACACTGGGAGGGGACTTTTACAGCCTAATGCAGTGCTAACTAAGATGGCTAGTGAAAATTCCCCAATAAGCTGTGCCCTCTTGAACCAGAAAATGCAATTTTGCTTCTCTTGAACCCTTTTCTGGCCAGCCAGTCATTTCTGCAATTAGAACAAATGAAGAGATTAAAGGACATTGAAACAAGACAAAAGACTGTTTTGCTTTTTTTTGTAAATGAATGGCTCTTCATTATTCATTCAGGCCCAACCAACTTTGATTACTTTGCACTGTGATAGGAATGTCTTGCAACAATAGTGTTTTTGGGGAAAATCTATCTTCCATCTACTTTGAGGACTATCCTTAAACTCAGAGGAAACAGGGACTGAATCTGGTGAGATCACAGAATCATAGGGTCAGAAGAGCTCTTGAAGGCCATCCGGTCCAACCCCCCTGCTTAAGGCAAGAATTCAAATGAAAGCAGATCCGACAGAGGGTGGTCCCATTTTTTCTTGAAGGCCTCCAGCGTTGGAGGGCTCACCAACCACCTCCCTCTGAGGTCATAGGTTCCATTGTCATACCGCTCGGCAACAGTTTAGAAGCTTTTCCTGATATCCAACATAAATCTGACTTCCTGTCGCTTGAGCCCATCATTACGTGTCCTGCGCTCCTGAATGATCAAGAACAGATCCTGCCCCTCCTCTGTAGGGCTATCGTTCATGTATTTAAAAAGCACTATCCTATCTCCCCTCGGTCTTCTTTTCTCAAGGCTAAACAGGCCCAATTTTTTCAGTCTTTCCCCCTCCCAGGGCTTGGCTTCCAGCTCCCTGATCACCCTTGTCGCCCTCCTCTGAACTTGCTCGAGTTTGTTTGCATCCTTCTTCAAGTCCAGCGTCCAGAACCGTCTACTGAAAAAAGTCTCAGGGCTTCGATCCGTCCAGCCCAGTCTCCACCAGCCTCTTGCTCTTCAAGGGACCACTTACACTCTTCGTTTTTGCCTTGAGGGACCCCACACAGCTGCGTCTTCACCCCAAACATCTATCTGTAAAAAAGCAGCTCTACAAAATAGGTCTACATCTCAAATTGAAATGGCTTAATCTTTATGGCTTCCAAGCCAGGAAAGGCAAATTACAACATAAGCTCTACAAGGGTACTTTGGCCGCAGGAACAGATCCCAAGAAGAAAGAGATCCTTCCTGTCATCATTGTGGAACTTTTGATCTTTGGAAAACATCTCACGCAAAGCATTCCTCTTAGCATGGCTTCTCGGCCTGCCGAGGCCAGCTGATGTTCTTGTTCTCGGCCTTCCTGTATTTCAAAAGGAGATTCCAAATCTGGAGCTGCCTTGTGATTAGAGACATCAATCACATGCAGATCTACACACCACAAAATGCCTTTTGTGTAAAAAACAACAACAACAACAACTAACCACCACAAAACTCGTGGCACTGCATTTAGATAATCATATTTGCTTTGGGTGAATGAGTGCCCATGGGGTGTCCATTCACTAGAAAGTACTGTGTCGTTTTAAATTTGAAACTGAAGCGCATTTGGGATGAGCTCATGGCCTATTTTCAGTGTAGCCTGATCCACTACTCCAGTGTCACTGTACCACCCACCATTCCAAAGTAAAAATATGTCTCCCTCGCTATGACGAGCATGGCCGTGCCATTCAAGAACGGCTGTTTCCCTAACTCTTGGGCTCTGTTCTTATCGTAAGAGCGACCCCACATCCTCTCCTTCTTGAGCTACTCAAGGATTAGGAAAAACTTCTTAACTGTTAGAGCAGTACGACAGTGGAACCCATGACCACAGGAGGTGGTGAGCGCTCCGGCGCTGGAAGCCTTCAAGGGAAAATTGCCAGAGCTGCTTTGATCAGGATTCCTGCCTTGAGCAGGAGCTGGAAGCCTTCAAGGAAAAATTGGGACGACCCTCTGCCAGAGCTGCTTGGATCAGGATTCCTGCCTTGAGCAGGGAATTCGAACCCATGGCCTTTGACTGGCGGCCCTTCCGTCTCCCCATAGATTCTATGATTGTATTAAAAGAAAAGAATAGCCTCAGAGTGGGAAATGTGTTTGTAGTACAACATCCATTGAACTGGGGCCTTCTTTTTTGGACAAGGACTCCCACCTGTACCAGGTGGGGGGGATGACACCCTCATCAGTCTGTTTGGGAAGTTGTTAGGGGAAAGAATGATTGTTTTAATTCACCGGAAACCACATGTGAGAGCTACAGACATTAGGAATGGTTGGCTTGCTGGGGCAAACCTAATCAGGAGCTGTTGAGGGGCCACTTCTGGGCTTTTACGGACTTCTTTACATCTTCTCTCCTACGCCTCCTAGAAGCAAAAGAAGTTCACGGCAAAGTTGGGCCCGCCCGGTTATACAAGACAGCAACACAAGTTGGCTCAGTTTTATGCTGAAGCAGCCTTCTGCGTCTCTAGATAAGAGTGCGGCCGTCGTACAATGGGGGGGGAAATTCACCAGCGTCCTTGGGAGCAATAAGGCAGGAAAGAAAGCTTTGTGGCTCTTCAAAGCCGGGCCTGAAATAGCTGTTCTCTGGGGCGCTACTGTCGGATTGGCAGATCAGTTCCTTATTTAGAGGAAGGTCCGCTTGCTGCCACGATCTTACGTTGGGACTTGAGCCCAAAATCCGTGCGTCTCCCAAAGCATGCGCTCAGCAAGGTTTCCAGTTACTGGCGTCAGCTCTGCAAATAAATATATACCAGGATGCAGGCGTTTTCTCAGCTGTTCAGTACACAGCCTGCCTGCTAAGCTATTAACCCTTTTCTTCTTACAGTTAGACTACAATTCCCATCATCCACAGACAGCCATAATCCTAACCTATCGAGGAAAGGCTGTCTTATGAGCGGACTTGAAGGGGTGGGGGAGATTTGTAAAGCCTATGATTCACGCAGAGAGCTTTTTTCCTATACACTTTAGAAGCACAGCATCTTACAACGGTAGAGCTGGAAGGGACCTTAAAGGTCATCTAGTCCAGCCACTGCAGGCTCTTCAGCTGAAGAATTGCTGACAGGGGCGATGTAATCTCTGCTTATATGCCTCCAGCGAGGGAGTCTGGTTGCAAAAGTGTTCACCTTGAGGGAAGCATGTACATCTGTCACCCATGAAGGCTGGAGCAACGATCCAATTTTCTCTGCATTTGTGTTACTCTGATCCGTATTGCTTTCGGTCTGAACTGACTCTGAAACTCTTCCATCATCTTATTTATTTGTCTGTTTGTCTCATTTATAGGCCGCCTTTTATTGCTTTTGGTCTAAACTCACTCTGAAACTTTTCCATCATCTTATTTATTTGTCCGTTTGTCTCATTTATAGGTCGCCTTTCCCCCCCGATAAGGGGACTCAAGGCGGCTCACAGTATTGAAAAGTTATAATTTTAAAAAAGTAAATTACACATGAAAATCGATTAAACTACAATAATAATTAAAATACACTGAATGATTGAAAACATTGAGAACTTTAAAAACTCAACTTAAAAATGGCATTCAAAGACTGAAGTCATGATTGTTAAAAGCTTGCCTGAAAAGGTGGGCCTTCAGCTGTTAGTTACTCCTTAGATTTAATAGAAATCTAACTCCTTCGATTTAAAGAAGAAATACCTGGTTTTTAAAGGAGAATGTTTTTGATAGTAACAATTTGAAGGTTAAAGTTGTTCCTTTCAAAATGTTATTTTCGAAACAGTTGATGGATCAATTGGCTTGGCCTCCTCTACAGTGCGAAGAAAAAAAGATCTTAATGTTAACATACTAAGCCAAATGCATCATGGAATTATGCCTAACCACCCTCTGTCGTCTGAATATGTACCTCTTAAAAATATATATATACATAAAAGAGGAAATCAACAGCACAGCTATTTCCACGGCTTGCAGCTGGATGGAGTCATACCTGGACCGTTGTTTCCTTCTTCTGCCCGCGTCTCATCACCAGAAACTTGGCGTCTTCGTCTCGGGGTGACGATCTCTCCTCTGCAAACGCCAGGAAGGTGGATTCGGAGGGCAGGTAGAGGAGGGCTGGGATGCGGTAGGTCAGCCCCCCTCGCTTCTTCTGGCGGAAAAGGACCACTTTGGGAGAGCTAGCTGGAGCTTCGGCCATATTTTCTGGGCATACAGAAACGTTCTGGGAGGGAAGGAGAGAAACCAGATCAGGAGGAGAGAACAGGGCTGTGCCCCTGCAGCGAGGCACATGCTTTGCACGGGGTTTCAATTATTGCTTTTCAAGCAGGGAATGTCTCTTGCTTGAGACTCTTTGTTGTTGTTGTTGTTTAGTCGTTAACCCGTGTCCAACTCTTCGTGACCCCATGGACCAAAGCACGCCAGACCCTCTTGTCTTTCACAGCCTCCCAGAGTTGGGTCAAATTCATGTTCGTCACTTCTATGACACTGTCCATCCATCTCGTCCTCTATCATCCCCTTCTCCTCTTTTCCAGAGAGTCTTCTCTTCTCATGAGATGGCCAAAGTATTGGAGCCTCAGCATCAGGATCTGTCCTTCCAGTGAGCACTCAGGGTTGACTTCCTTCAGAACAGATAGTTTGTTCTCCTTGCAGTCCAGGGGACTCTCAAGAGTCTCCTCCAGCACCACGATTCAAAAGCATCAATTTTTCGGTGGTCAGCCTTCGTTATGGTCCAGCTCTCACTTCCTTGAAAAGGAAAAGGTGGCTGACAACATTGACAGCCATTATTTAAAGTTGAAAATGAGAATATGACCCTGGTTAACTTCCTTCCACTCTCCGAGAAGCAGAACTTGGGCAATTCCCCAAATCGGGGGAAAACAACTCATCAGATTAGAGCCATTAAACAATCAAGTCCTCAAAATGTTTTTTTCTCCCCAAACTCATGGCTTCCTTTCACTGATTATATTAATAGCAATACTGAGGTGTATTTTCATAAGATTCCTACAAAGATAATTAGTCTGACATAATTACCAACTACATTTGTGTCTTTGCTCTTTTTCTTTTTTCAAATAACGTTCATGCTATGATTTTCCTGGAAGTGGGCATTGATAGATGAGCTTAATGAAAGACCCACACTCCTGCATTTTTCTTCATTTTCTACTTACTCTTTATTACTTTTAATAATTTTTTAGAGTATCTATTTAAATTGTTTTATCTTTTTATTGTATTTTTATTGTATTTTAATTGTTGTAAGCCGCCCAGAGACCTTTGGGTAGAGTGGGCAGCATATAAGCTGTCTAGAGGGGGTAAAAATCGAATAAATAAATAAATAAATAAAAAATAAACAAACAAATAAATAAATATTGTTGTTTGTTGCTGTTGCTGCTGCTGCTGCTGCTGCTGCTGCTGTTGTTGTTGTTATTATTATTAAACGGGCTGTCTATTTCCATAGCACAGCTCCACCAGCCTCCCCGATGGGTTGGACTACAGCTCCCACCATCCCCAGTCAGCATCCTGGGGATGATGGGAGGTGCAGTCCGACCCAATGGGGAGGGGTCCGAGCTGGTGGCAGCAGGACAAACGGCTGAAGCCCTTTAGTAAAATGCCAGCTGGATTATCCATCCATCTCTCTCTCTCTCTCTCTTTTGCAACCCCTGCTATCTCGCCTCTTACCGTGTGCAACCCTTGCTATCTCGCCGCTTACCGTGGTGCGGATTCCTTTGAGTGCAAACGGACCCAGCATTGCGAAGTGAAGTGAAGTGAAGAGCAGGGCGTGGGTGCAATCTGTGTGTGTGTGTGTGTCCGGGCGCAGGATCAGCTCCCCCCCTTCCCCAGGGTCTGACTTTCCGCGCGCGCTCCGCCCGGGCGCGGCACCAGCCCGGCTGCAACAGCTGGCGGCAAAGGGGGAGAACAGCTGGCCCGGGGAACTCCGGCGCGGCGCAGCCAATCAGGAGGCGGGAGCCCCTTCGGGCGCCATAGAGCTACGAAATCTGAAAGAGGGACAGGGCCACCATGTCAGGACGGGGGAATTCCGGGTTCCTTTTGGTCCCCCCGCTTTTTTGCGGGAGAAGGAAGACATGCCCCTAAGGGGATGATGAACTTGGATCGTAGCCCAGGCAGTTGGGCCACGAAGAAGACCAAAACCCTCATAATTACCAACTACATTTGTGTGTTTGCTCTTTTTTCCCCCCCAAATAAAGTTCATGCTATCATTTATCTGGAGGTGGGCATTGCAAGATGAGCTTAATGAAAGACCCACAGTCCTGCATTTTTCTTCCTTTTCTATTTACTCTTTATTATTTTAAATAATTTTTTAAATTAAACCCTCCAGACCCTGGAGAGATTGGAAAAAAGAAGGAAAGAGTTTTGCATTCCTTGGTTCAATCATCCACCCCAAGGGAGATTAAAAAGACCAAGAAATCAGAAGGAGGTGGAGACTCAGAAGGACAGCAAGGAAGGAATCAGAAAAGAACATCAGTTGTAAGGAGGAGACCAGGATCACCCACACGCTTGGGTTTCCTATCACCAGGGAGGGGTGTCCAAGCTGGGCAGCTGAGACGACGGACAGGAAATGAATGGGAGACCAAAGGTGAGATGGATCAACTTCGTTAAAGGAAGCCACAGGTTTTGGTTCACAAGAACTGTGAGCACAGCTGTTCACGACTGGACGTTTTCGGGGATCGCTCGTTCTCCAGGGCGACGGCACGGCCCATATGTGAGCACGGCTGTTCACGACTGGACATTTTCGGGGATCACTCGTTCTCCAGGGCGACGGCACGGCCCATGGCAGCAAAATATTCATTTATGTACTCGTCCTGGCTTTCTCCTGAAAAGGACCCAAAGCGGCTTGCCACGTGAAAAGGACAATAATCTTTAAAAGCAACGGTAAATATCTGTATCTGGAAGGCAAAGGAGGACGACAGCAGCAAACTACCCCTTGAACATCTCATGTGCCTCAAAACTGTATTAGGGTCACCTTAAGTCAGAAACAATTTAATGGCACATAATAATGGATACATAATCACAAGAGATTTTGATATCATTCTCTTTGTCTTGATTGCTAGATTTCTAGGGTCTGTTTAAAAAAAGTGGCACTCCTATTGGTACAAAGTTGAGACGAACCAACATGTGCTGTCAAGCCAATTCTGACCGATGGCAACTCTTTTTCAGGGTTTCGCAGGTAGAGAGTCCTGAGAAGTGGTTCGCCATTCCCTTCTTCTGGGGCTATAGTGCCGCTTGCCCAAGGCTACACAGGCTGGCTCTACTCACAGGGAGGCCCAGTGCGCAATCAGGCACTTATGACCTCTGCCTCCGCAGCCAGAGACCTAACTCACTGAGCTATCCAGCCAGCTAGCGATGGCATAAAAGGCGCATCGTTCTAGGACTGCAGAAAAGAGTTGCCAATGCAAACAGATGTGTGTATGCTGAGTCACTGTGACTGCTGAGAAGATGATGCAATGTCTGTAGATGAGATGACACCCAGGTGCAGAAGACGATGTAATGTGTCTTCTGATTGGACTGAAGAAGCCTTGTGTATGTATATAAGTGAACAGTGTGTTCATAGATTTCTCTTCTCTCTCGATCACTTGCTGCTATCCTCTATGCCGGTTTGTTTAATAATTTCCTGCCATGCTGAAGCAATGCCAGCCTGTATATACAGTACTTGTAAATATTGTAAATACACCCGTCTTGCTAAAGAAGAAGAACGTGTAAAGAAGAAGAACGTGTAAGTGTCTTCATTTAACTCTGCGTATTTTCCTGTCGCCAAATCCTGACAGCTACACAGCAAAACTACAAAGTTAGGAAGTGAAATAAATTTGTAACCCCCCCCCCAATCAACCCGATTTTTTTCATTTGTATAGTTCTCTTCAATAATTAGAAATAATCAAGGGGTTGGAGTGCAAGAGGGCCATTGCGTGAAGCCTTCTGGTGCTCAGAAGTTTTCTAGCCCTGTGTGTGGCCAAAGGAAAGAAGCAGAGAGGACACAGCTGATGTCAGGATCATGTCCATGGGGCAGAGAAGGGAATGAAATAGAGCATGGCGCTAAAGCAAACGCTTAACTCCCTAAATCTTTTATCTAAAGTGACTTTGGATAATAGCACCCACCATTTCCCAGTCAATGCAACCTTCTGGGGGAGCTCCTGATGCTTCACTCCAAAAAAAGTAACTTTTCCAAATTCCGCTCATCCTCAGCTGGCCTCTTGATCCTAGGTAAGGAGATAAGAATCACTTGTTTTCTAGTTTTTCCTTTCAAGATCCAGGCAAAATTTGGGAGAACCCAAAGAAATGTTACATCCAGTGATGACAGAAGTTCAAATGAGTGACACGTTTCAAGACGTATAAGAGGTTCAAATAATCTTTATTCTGATTTTTTTAAAAAGCTGAATGCGTTTTGGTACACCACCGTCTTCAGGAACAACAGTTTAGAATCCAAACTTTGGTAGCCCGTTCGGTCTGTACCAGCTCCAGCTACTGATCCAAAGGGGAAAATCTGCCCAAATTGCATTTGTAATTTTGTAATTGATTGTGATTTTAGTTTTATTTATTATGAGCTGCCCTGGGTCCCCCCCCCCCCAAACCGGGAGAAAGACAACCTAGAAATGAAACAGAAAGCCAACAAACAAGATTTTAAATGGATCTTCATTAAAATATAGACACAGAAGAGAGCAGATTAAGTCCACAGGCTGCATGGAAACAGTTCTGGCTCTGGATCGGCCAAGGTTTTGAGGTAGGAAGGCCAAAGCCATCATGCAGTCTGCAAGAACCGGTCGACAGACAGAAGCACTGAAGTAAAATGGTAACAAATTTATTTTTATTTTATTTTATTTATTTTATTTATACCCCGCCTATCTGGTCAGTTTGACCACTCTATGCAATGGGTCTCCCCTTGCTGCAATTGGCTTGTGAAATGCAGAAGTGGCAGGGTTTTTGTGCTGCTTTCGACGAGGTAGCTAGAGGCGATGGTCGCTTTTGTAAAGATGGGAGGAGGGAAGAACCAACCGGGCCCACAGCCTTCTCCCTGCATGGTTTTGCTGCTCTGGCATGGACTTGATCCCCACTGCGTTACACAAGATAATAATATTTGTGTGCCGTCACATCAGTTCTATATATGTGTAATCACTGTGTGACATCAAGTCAATTCTGACTTAGGGTGACCCTTGACAGGGTTTTCTAGGTAGAGAGGTACTCAGAAATGGTTTTCCCATTCACTTCCTCTAGGGGGAGCCTTGGGATTACGATGCAGCTGGCCCAAGGCCACCCAGGCTGGCTCTTCTCTCTAGAGAGGCACACACGGGGAATCGAACTCCCAGCTTCTAATTCCACAACCAGATACCTAAACCACTCCACTGTCCAGCCAGCTCTAATAGTAATGGTGTGACATCCATTCCGACTTATGGCAGCCCTTCTTAAGGCTTTAGGGAATATCCAGAAGTGGTTCCCCCTTCCCTTCTTCTGGGGTCGTCTTGGGACTCTGCAGCTTGCCCAAAGCTACACAGGCTGCCTCTCCTGGGATGTACCGTGGGGACTCAAACTCCCGACCTCTGGCTCCGCAGCCAGAGACCTAAAACACGGGTGGCAAGTTTCCAACCTCGAGGGCCAGCAAGCCACCACAAGGATTAAAACCGTCTCCGCCACGCAGATGTGTCCAGAGGCTCTGTTTTTCACCCCTGCCCTGTTGCTCTGGACAGACAGGGCGAGCTCACCCCCTCTCAGTCGATCCTGCGTGCCGTGTGATGCGGACAGAGGTCACTCCTCCTCAGAGCTGGGAGAAGACACTTCGGACTACAACTCCCAAAATCCCCCCTTCTGGAAGTTGTTGTCTAAACAAGAAGGCACCTCTTCCGTGGCTGTGCACAAGCCAATTGGATTGACCAGAGCACTAAGAATAGTGTGTGTGTGTGTGTATGTGTGTGTGGGGGTGGGTGGGTGTGTTTGTGTAAGTGTGAAAGGGGGGTCTGACCTCACCCACTTGGGGTCAAGCTTTGCCTATGGCTGGCACACCTCCCCCAGAAGTTGTTGTCTAAACAAGAAGGCACCTCTTCCGTGGCTGTGCACAAGCCAATTGGATTGACCAGAGCACTAAGAATAGTGTGTGTGTGTGTGTATGTGTGTGTGGGGGTGGGTGGGTGTGTTTGTGTAAGTGTGAAAGGGGGGTCTGACCTCACCCACTTGGGGTCAAGCTTTGCCTATGGCTGGCACACCTCCCCCAAGGGATGTCCAGTGTGAAAGAGGGGGGTCTGACCTCACCCACTTGGGGGTCAAACTTTGCCTATGGCTGGCACACCTCCCCCAAGGGATGTCCCACATGGCCATTCAGCCTGGGAGCAACAAAAAAAAATCTCCATTCCCCTTCTAAATCTTATACCTCATAATCAAATCAAGCTTGAACTCTTTCGGGAGGCAAAAAGGTTGAAACTGAGGCCGTCCTCCTTTGGGCACCTCAGGAGAAGGCAGGATTCTCTGGAAAAGACCATGATACTGGGCATGGTGGGAGGCAGCAGGAAAAGAGGAAGACCCAATGCAAGATGGACTGACTCCCTAAAAGAAACCACGACTTTTGAGTCTGCAAGAGCTGAGCAGGACTGCTGAGGACAGGAGATACTGGAGATCGCTCATCCATAGGGTCACTCTTTCATACGTTGGGGGGTGACTTGACAGCACATAACAACCTACAATAGGACCGCGGGGATCTGCAGGGGATGGGTTCCCCGTGGATGCAGAAAACCGTGGACGTATCAAACAACATCCATTGCATGATCTCTGGCTCTTTCTAGTGGCCAGTTCTGGTAAATACACTCTGGAAATACATTATAAATAGCTATTTCTCAACGGGCGGATAAGTGAATCCGTGGATACTGATCCTGTGGGTACGGGTGTCCTACTGTAATTCCAAGCCAACGACTCAGCAGACAGGCACGGATGAAAGAAATGAGTGGGGTGGGGTTTTTTTTTGTGCCTTAAAGAAGTAGATGGGAAACATTCAGGATTTGTGAGAGCAGTAACTCAGACAGAGAAGCAGCTCCAAATCAGCGGCTCTTTCATGGGGCCCCCGCCAGGAGCTCAGCCTCGGAGAAGACCTGGAAAGCAATTTCTTCATAGGAATGGGACTGCCCGCACTCAAACAGGCAACCAAAGAGCCGGGATTTCCCTTCCCCGCAGACGGCCAGGTCCGAGTAGCCGCTGGGCCCCGGGTTCAGCACCCAGGGGGCTTTCCACGACCCCGGATCCAAGGGGGACGTGTTCAAGTAGATGCCCAGATCCGTCCGCGTGCGCCTGTTGGTGGGGTGGGAGAAAATCAGCCACGACGCGGCGCTCTTGAGGGAGGCCGCGTTCGACTGAGCGCTGGCTTCGGCCGGAGGAGAGAAACTCACCACGCTGCCCTGGCAGCCGCTCGGAGGCTCAAACAGCTGCTTGGAGAGGAAGGATTCGAGAAACCCATCTCCGCCGTCTGTACTGAAGGCCTCGATCCGGTACCTGTCCGGACTGCGGGCGTTACAGTACAAGACGGGGCGGTTATCTCGGCCGGTCAGTTCAGCCACCTGGCACTCGGAGGTCTGGAAAGTTTTGAGCAGCTGGCCTTGAGTCCAGTTCTTCCCGCCGTCGTCGCTGTGGAACGTGAAACAGTGAGGTTTGGTCCAGCAGCGGAACGAACGCCCCAGACAGCGTCGGTGGATGAAGTAGGCGTAGGCTGGGATCACCAGCCGCCCGGAGCTGAGCTGCAAGCCGTGGCCCGGCCCGACGGCAAAGGTGGCCCATTTCCTCAAATTATCTGTGATTGCCCGCTCGGTCACGTCGGTCACCGGACTCCACGTGCGGCCACCGTTGCGGCTCAAGATGTAGCACAACCGAGCCGCGTTTTCCCCTTTCGAGATCTGCTGCTGTTCCGTGACTCTGCTCTCGACGCAGATGAAGAACAAGAAAACGGTGCGGCTGTTCCTCTCGTACACGGGGCAAGGGTTCATGGTGCGGTGGCCGGGCAAGGTCGCCGTCTCCAGAGGCGCCATAGGACCCCACTAGAAGGAAAGAAGGATCTGCCGTTAAGCGGTAGAGTTCTCACTGCTGGAGTAGCTCAGTCATGTCTCCTTCTCAAGGAGCATCCTGGGGGAGTAAAACGTGAGAATTTCCCCCCCTTGGATTACAGAGCCCAGAATCCCCCAGCCGGCATACCTATTGGGGATTCTGACCACTGTAATCCAAAAAAGGAACTTTCTGTTGGAGGTTTTGCAACCCTGCATGCTGCTTTTAGTAGGTTTGGCTGGGAGGGACGTTTCTGGGCTGAGAGGACTGTCAATCTATCCAGCACGAACCAATAGTTTCCTCTCTGCCTCTGAATTCAAAGAGAGACCCGCCTCTCTGCGGTATCCTTTCCCCTCTCCTGAGTCTGTTAAAATCTGTTTGTTGAAGGCAGCCATGACGGTCAGTTGGCTAGTTCGATCTGTTCATCTGGAAGTCATTAAAACTTTTTATTCTAATGACTCAGAATGAGTTATTGAGACTGTAAGTGCCAGGCGATGAGGAAAAAGGGATGGACTAATCTGGCAAGTTTGAAGCTATTCTGCTCTGTGAATCCCTGCGCTTCTCCTGCACAACGAGAGGAATTTAACCAAAAATTCTAAATTCTCCAACACTTTCCCCCAAACTCTGAGGAAAACAATGAGGAGAAACAGCAGTTTTGCTCATCATGGGTCTCTGTCACAAACAATTGTGTAAGAATTACAGCAGGGTCAAGAAACCTGTTGTTCTCCATATCTTGGGGGGAGTTCATCATCAGTTTGCACTAGGTCACCTCGGGCCCCCTGGGTGTTCTTGGACTACAGTTCCCAGAAGCCTTCGCCACCAGTTGTGCTGGCTGGGGTTTCTGGGAGCTGTAGTCCAAAAACACCAGGTTTGGGAACCCCTGTCCGAGTTGAATCTTCCAAACAGTCTTTGAGGGCAGCCCCATGCACAACACGTGGCAGCAGTCCATCCAGGAGATTCGGGGAAACCCAGGTTGGTTTGTAAAGGTCTTTTGTTCAGGAAAAGGAAGCCCCTGGATATCTGGGAGAACTAAGTCTGGCTGATCTTGGTTGATGCCAGAAAAATGCTTATTGAAATGCTGGGAGGAATCAAAACCAGCTCCCAGCCTCTGAACCAGTTCTGATGGGGAAATCATCGTATTCATCACCAGTAGATACCACGCCACATTCAAGCCTTTTTTAAGCTCCACCTACATAACTTGTTAGGATTCAGCGTCAACCGGTTCAACCTCATCGACCTGACTCTGGTTTCCAAATTGCAATTTAGGGCAAAAAGAAGAACAGGGCGAGTATCTCACAAGCATCCGTTCCTTAAACACTGCAGCAGCTTCCCAGATACGGGAACCAGTGGGTTGCTTCTCCGTTTAAATATTTATTATTTTACTTTATATACCGTTCCCGTCTCCAAAGAGACCCAGAAAGGCACACAACACAAAAAGAATATGTTTGCGTTTTTTAAGTACTTATTAATATTAAGGTTTTAATAATTGTTTTTAATATAGGATATTTTTTATAATATTGTCTATTTTAATGTTTTTAAAGTTTTTATATTGTTGTACGCCGCCTGGAAACCACGGCCAATAAATATTGTAAATATTTCTTAGGCGAAGAAATATTATAAACAAACAAGAGTCGGACACGACTAAACAACAACAACATAATCCTTGATACTTTGGTTTTCAGGGGGCTACGGGCAGCCATCCCAAAGATCTTATGACATGCCTAGTCCAACAGAAAGGGTTCAAGCAGCAGCATCGCTATTGAGAATAGAAGCCTCTGTAGAAAAACAGAATGGCCCTCGGCATCAAACCCTACTAGAAGATTAAGAAATATGTACAGACCTGAAAAGACTCTTGTTGAGCTTAAGATTATCTACCACAAAGCTTAGGAAACGTTTCCAGATCACAACCCCCAGAAATATCCTGGAGGATTCTGTTGGACTTTTTGCAGTGAGATGTTGAGAGCGCAACTTTAGTTTGCTATTTGATCTATTCAGTTGTAAGTAATGAAACCTTCTATTCTTTCTCACGCAAATGTCTCAGAATGAGTTATTGAGACTGTTAGCGCCAGTTAATGAGAAAAAGGGGTGGTCTGCTCTGGAGAACTTAAAGCTGTTCTGCTCTGTGAATACCCACACTTCTGCAGCATAGGCAAAGGAATTGAACCAGCAGTCCAAAACTCTATAACATATATTTCCAACTGTGGCCCAAGAAGGAAACTTTAAGCTCTGAATATTAACTTTTCCAAGTTCTGAGCTGCCAGGGAATTAACAAACCATCACACAACGAGGTCTGGAACCAAACTGCCATGGATGAAAATAACTAGTCCCCCAGTTACTGCCAACTCAGAATGGTGGTACAACAAAATTCTTGTTGCTGAAAAGCAATACAGATTTTGCTGAGATGGCATAATAAATCAAGACAAAATTATTAATTTTTTTAACACTTTCTCTCTCCATGATTACCTTGATCGTTTTTCCAGCCTTCTGCCCGCGTCTCATCACCAGGAATTTGGCGTCTTCATCTCGGGGTGACGATCGCTCCTCTGCAAATGCCAGGAAGGTGGATTCGGAGGGCAGGTAGAGGAGGGCTGGGATGCGGTACGTCAGCCCCCCTGGTGTCTCCTGGCGGAAAAGGACCACTTTCCCTGTGCCATTCCAAGCTTCTCCCATTTCTCCTATAACAACAACAACAATAAACAACAACAACAGAAAGCTAAGATCCAAGGAATTAGTGCTAAGAGCAATGTCGACTCTGCCGAGAAAAAGACAAAACTGTGACACACCTCATTTGCAAATGTCCAAAGGTTGCACAAACAGATCACAAAGTTAGACATGATACAGTGGCAAAGTTAGTGCACTGGCCGTTATGTAAAATATAGAACTTGCCAGACTTGAAAAACTTGTGGGAGTAGAGAAGGTGTCAGAAATGTGGGATTTCCGGATCCACACAGACACCGTGAACATTACTCCCCAGACATACAGTAGTAGTAATAGAATGAAGAAATGACTAGACAATTGACAATGCAATTCCAGGGGATGCCAGAGTTGAAAATAAAGAATTGGAAAAACAAATGAAGTACAGGCCATCGAAAGATCTCGCCTCTGGAAGAAACACAGTTCTGTGGTCCCCATCGTCATTGGGGCTTTGGGAACCAGATCAAGAAACTTCACACAGTGTTATAAGCAGTTGCAGATCTCGGAAATCATATCAGCTGAGCTACAAAAATATTAGGAACAGCATACCTACACGCCGATATTTATAAGCAGTTGCAGATCTCGGAAATCGCACCATCTGAGGTAGAAAAGCCCGGCAATATTAGGAACCGCACACCTACTGTGCCGATATTTAACAGATACTTAGGTTGTTGGTTAAAGCTTGTATCTGTTATATAATACCAGTCAATGTTTTTACAATGTTGACTGTGCCTGGTGTTTTATAATCATCATCATAATCAACTCCTAACCTCTGGCTCTGCAACCAGATACCACTGAGTTATTTATTTATTCATTCATTCATTCATTTATTTTATTTATATCCCGCCGATCTGGTCGTGTCAGAACCACTCTAGGCGGCTAACAACATTAAAATCATACAATAGATATACACATAAAAACAATTTTACATGACAAAGATATTAAACAGGATAGGAAAACTGAAGGAGAGGGAAAAGAGGGGTGTCAGGAATTATTTGATAGGAAGGCCTGCCTAAACATCCATGTTTTTAATTGGTTTTATCCAGTCAGCATGTCCGTAGGAAAACCCTAGCTTGGAAAACACGGTTTTGGGGTTATGTGTTTTAAAAACGATTTCTGTTTATTAGAATTTTCCAGACTACAAAGCTATCCATATAGTGTATGTGTACGGTATATATGTGCATATACATATAACTATGTCCTATGAGGAGATTACCAGTGAAAGCTGTGTCATGAAGGTTAGACATTACACTGGTTAATATTATAAGCGAAGTACTTAAAGTACAGATATCCTGCAGAGTGAAGTCAAGTGGGCCTTAGAAAGCCTGGCTAACAACAAGGCCAGTGGAGGTGATGGCATTCCAGTTGAACTATTTAAAATCTTGAAAGATGATGCTGTTAAGGTGCTACATTCAATATGCCAGCAAGTTTGGAAACCGCAACAGTGGCCAGAGGATTGGAAAAGATCAGTCTACATCCCAATCCCAAAGAAAGGCAGTGCCAAAGAATGCTCCAA